TTACGTCATAATGAAAAGGCCGCTTTAAACTAATTTATCATTTTTGAAACCTTTAATCCTTTCCTGACATTGTGTGAAAAGCGCTTGCAGATCGAGTTATTCAAGACGAAGTTGTAGCCGTTTCAATGCGGCTAGGTGTGCCAGACTAAAACTACCCTGAGCCTCCTTAAGTAGGAATTAGAAGTGCTTCTTCGAATAGTTCTTTGGGCAAGTTTTCTCTAGACGCGCATTTAGTGTTAATGCTTTTGCAAGTGTTTTAATAACTAAAACCTGGATCGATTTTCTTCACAGGGACTCTAAATCCAGACCGTCTGCAGATGACTTGTTTCATTTCAGCTTTGTCTTTAACTCTTCTGTATCGACCTGTTTATAGCTAATGGAGTAATTCACCAAAATATCACAAACAAAATTTTGTTGGCTTATAACCAGAAGACTTGACGCGATAGAATATGTATCTTTCATTATCCAAAATTGTTGAGAAATGCTGCGATATACTCAAGACGTTGCTTGGCGATCCGCGGGACAAGTGAACGATATTCCGGCATCGGTGTTTGATCCAAGGATTTGAAAATTTTCAAAAATTTGTAAACAATTTGAAAAGTTTTCGTCTGGCAGAGTAAAATAAGTCCATTATTGTGATACTGGAAGACACCAAAGCTGATGACCAATTAATGAATGTGAATCTATGAATTTGAATGCGACGTAAAATTAAATTAGACTGGCACAGACAACAACCGTATTGATTGGTAGAACCAACGGTTGCTGTCACTTCAACCAACATGCATTCTGGTTGTAAATAATCAAGTTATAAAATAGAAGAAATGAAGATGTTGGTGGAAGGTTTTCAAGAGAATTATTCTAAATGATGATATGAATACAGTAATATACTACTGGTAGGAGAGACATTCTACGTTATATGAAGATAAGGAATATATGGTTAGTCGTACATGGATATGGACTCGGGATTCCTGTGTCGGTGAGTAAGGAATCAACATGCCAAGCTGGGTCTAGCCTTGTTTTTATTGCGTTCTGGTTTAGCAGCAACTGGCCTTTTGCAATCAATAGTCACGTGACTGTAATGGATGGCAAAAAGTCTGCTAGATTTTCCAAAGAATTTATAGCTCAATTACTATAGCTATAGATATTTAGGATTTTATAGTTTGTTTGCCATCCAACAGAGCCTTACCCAATGACCTGTGAGCTGAATTTATATATTGTTAGAAAGGTGATATATCAGCACGTGACTGTAAGCTGCAGATGGCCTGTTGTCCTTTATTGCACTTGTTAGAGATGAGCTGAAGTTTGTGTACCATTGGTTTGACACATCTCGGATGTTACAGCGCACAGTGATACACACCTAATTCAAAAAACGTCATCTCCAAAGGCAATAGACGATAGGTCATTCCGACATGGAAATGGTTTCGTTGAATACAAAGAACGTCGAATCAGTCTCAACACTAAGGTCCATGTTCCTGACAAGAATAAGAAGCAGAAACACAAGTCATTCCAGATATTCTTGGATCTTGGAATGACATATATCCTATCGCTTTTCGCCTATCTCCTATTATTTTGAATTAGGTGTATACAAACTACAGCTCAGAGATTCGACTGCTATTACTTTTCATGATATATGCCAGTATACACCTAATTGAAAAAATGTAGTCAGGTTTGAGAAGGTCATATCATCGAAGCTAAGACCGAAAAGGATTTTGGGTACTCCGAAATGTGTATTATATTTGCATATAGACATGTAAAAATGCACAGTAGAGCAAAGTCGGTCGACCTAGATTAACGACATGCCAAAGCCATGATGCATAAAATGTGCACAGGAAGGGAAAACAGCAATACGCATGAATTAGCATAATTGTTTGTCTTCCCATGCTCCCCTTCGGTCTTAGCTTTGATGATATAAACTTTTATTGAACCCGACAACTTTTTTTCAATTAGGTGTATTGGATGACAATACTGAAAAATCAAGCATATCTAGGATGCTGTGCTGTTCAGTAGCTTTATATTGAATTTTTTTTTTGACTTCCTTTTACTGACTATGTTATTTGTATTTGCATACTATGAGCAATAACACTTTTGATTTTTGTTTGTATATATGTGTTGCTAGTTGCCCTTCACCTGGCATATTTTATCATCCAGACAAAAAATGTTGGCTTCTGTTACAAATCCTTAAATGGTCATTTTAAAGTGTATATCAAGGGGAAAAATTTTTTTTTTGAAATTACTTATATATGAACAATGTAGTAGTATGGTTGCAGTATTTTTGTATGTGGAATTTTCTCTACGGAGATATAAACATTTGAAAATACAAATGAGATGATGTGCTGTTTTGATGAAATGTTTTGGAAAGTACTGCTATTTTTAGCAAATCATCCTTATAACTGAAATATATGGTTTTGTACACTTTTAGGTTATTTCACTTCAGAACACTTCATAAATTACACTCATTTGCATTTTGATATTTCAAATGTTTATATCTTTGAAAAATACTGCAACCATACTACTACAATGTTCACATAAAAGTGATTTTGAATTTTTTTCCCATTGATATAAAGACGGTCATGTTCAAGGTGTGTCTGTTCAGGGTGTGTCTGTGTGTCTGTCCTGGGGTGCGCAATTATCCTCTCCCCCTCCTTTTTTTGATTTCTTTGAACGTTTTCCAATCTAATCCATAACCTAATCCTGTTATCTTTTGAACCTAAAAGCATAATTGCTTTAAACCATGACTGTTAAACATAAGTTGAATAATTTGCCATCTAAATAAGGGTGACTAGCAGTCTATAATTATTGTGAACTACTTGCTTTTTACGTTAAGACAGTTACGAACTTTGTTATAGTTTACCTACATTTTGTATTTGATTTTTTTGTATGTTTCTTTTGTAATTTTCGTTTTATATTCGACAAAAACTCGTTGCCTAGAACTGTCACTAACAAGGGCGGCACTTTCGTGCAGTTTATTAACATTAATATACCTTTTTACTGATACGGCGGCCATCTTGAATTCTATTGTTTTCTAAGAGATTATGGGATGTCGAGGGAGTAAATATTGGAAAATCTATGAACAGCACAGCTGTCAGGGTGTCTTTATATAGCTTTACGTTATCCAATGTGAAACACATCTTAAAGCTAATTGAAGTTGCTGGTAGTTGGAGCGATATTTAAAACACCAAAGCGTAAAATGATTTGAAAACGTAACTTCGCCACTGTTCTTTAAATATTTCTACGTTTGGGCATCCCATAACTTAAGATGGCTGCGAATCGGTAAAAAGATCTATAATAGTAGATTTCTTATAGCTGTCGCCATAACAACAGTTCAGTTGACTTTGGGCCACGTTCGAATGATTAAAATTCAGCATGATACCGAGGCTCCTTGGAATAAGGTTTTGAAAACTGTATATTACATTATAACATTGTTGATTTAGTGAATTAACTAAGTTGTCTACCAAATTTGCCTTATTGTTAGGAGCATCGTATATTATTTTATTCCTACTCGTAAATGTATTTGCAGACACGTGTTTGTACCGTACATCAAGTACCATAAACTAAAGCCTCGCAATCAAGTCTGGATTTTAAGATATAGAATGTATCCTATTTCGATTTGTAACAAATCTTAGCAGAATCCTCAATGCTGGTGTCACATTAAAACCTTAGACATATCTAAGATATCTCTATCCATAGTTATCACAAAATTCCTCTCATTACTTGAATCTAAAGCCACCAAAGTGCAATGTGCGTTCAATGTTATATCTAAGTGTTAGAAAACCACATATGAAACTATCATATGTTTCTCTTTAAAACTAAATAGCTATTCCAAGATTAGTCAAACGCGTTCCTTATGAGTGGAAAACGTCACTAGCGTGACCTGCAAATGGCTTCCTCTCTGTAACAATCATAAACCATGAAAAGGCACGTCAGCCAAACACGGAGCTTCATGTGGAAGCCATTCAAAAGTCGTGTTACCGTACGTTCACCACTTATAAGGAATCTGCATTGATATTTTTTCTCAAAGGTTTAATGATGTTAAATTATCTCCATGGTAAAAGTGATAAATAATTTAGAATTCTAAGTATAAAGACATTATTTAAATCAACCATTGATTAATAGGGTGTAAAACAAGGAATATTTTTGTAAATAATTTTTTTCGAGTTCATTATGTGAATATCAAATATTGTAGATATATCATTATCTAAATGTAGATATTTTGGCTTTTCTAATTAAAAGTTCAAAAAATCAAGCTTGTTGAATAAAGCAATAAGGAAATTGATCGATAGATGTGTCTTTTACTTGACTGTTGCTGTCGTTTTATTGTTGATGATGTTGTTTCTGCTCAGTGTTGCCGTTGTTGTTTTTGCTGGTAATGGTTGGTGCTCCTTTTGTTGCTGCGGATGTTATTCCTGATGTCGTTGAGGTTGTCGATGTCGTTTCTGCTGATGCTGCTACTTGTGGTGGTGAAAGTCAGCTGGCATGGACTTCTTGCTGTTACTCTGTTGCTGAAGTTGCTACTGATTTTGTTGTGATTGTTGTTGCTGGTGGTGATGATAATAATGATGATGATGATAAAATAATAATAGTAATAACTTTATTTAACGTGGAAACATACTCTTAGCTTAACACTAGTTTACAGGTAGTCCACCTAAGACTGAATATAAAACTACAGTAAAATATTAAAATATACAATTCATAAATAATAAATATATCCAATAAAATACTATTTAAAATAATATATTAACACAAACGCGTACCCCAATTCCTGAATATATATCCCCAACTAACCTAATTCTAATCCCTGTCCTAGCCCTAATCCTAATCCACTCCCACAAAAACAAAAATAAAAGATGTTGACTTATGCTGTTGCAACTGTTGTTGTTGATTCTTTCGTTGCAGCTGTCGTAAAATTGCTGCTTTTATAGTTTTTGCTTTTGGTGTTGGTTGTAGCGTGCACGTGTTTTTTTTTTTTTGTTTTTTTTTTTTACAGGTTTAAAACCCCCATTCAAGCATTTCTGCTCTCATGATTACGCAACAAAACACATGATGACCAAAATGGTTGACATAGCAGAGACTAATGACAAACCTTTCGTTAAATTCAATCAAAATGGCGCGCTAACAGCAACCAGCGATTGAGAAGCCATGCTGAACACTCCAGGCAGCCAGGGGCTTCGCTGAATCTGGTACTCAGGAGCTCGCCAGCTGGTCCTTTATTTTGAAAGCTCTTCATAAATTTATCCGGATCGGCTTGTGGATCAGTTGATCTTTTAGTTTGTGCAGCTCACAGTATCAGATATGCGCCTAAAATTTTATTGGCAAAAGGTGAGACTCAGTTGTTTGATCATTGTAGAAAGAGGTTATTTGCGAGAACGGACCGGAGAACCGAAGAATTTTACAAAACCTCCTGAGGAAAGAAATCAGCAAGACTATATCTAGTGTATAACGTAACAAATAAACTACTTTATATATATATATGCCTGCACGTATTTCTCATATATACTATAAATTGACTTCTTTTGTATGACCCACGTGCCATACTTTTCGCTTCGTCGTTATATGGTATCAAATTAATTGAAGGGGCTGTCTGAATACACTGTAGTTTCATCTGCATTAAGCAGTCAACCGGCAAAACACACAGAGATGCGCAGCCCCCTCCCCCCCCCCCCCCCCCCCTCAATACGTAATAAATGACCAAAATTATGGTCAAGACTGAAGCACACTATTTCGTTCTTGATTTCTGAACAATAGAATAACTTAATATTCAGGAGTTTTCTCTTAAAAAATAGGGTTTCGAAAGCTGCTTCGAAAATCAAGTCCGGTACTAAGGCACCTCCCATGAAAACTACCCATGAGGCAATGCGTACCGTGTGTGTAAATATAACATGGGAAACACCGCTGAATCCTTTCCTCTCATCTTCACTTCGAGCAAGTGAACATATCACTGTTAAAAAATACCAAAAAATCGCACTCAAACACCAACAGAACCCCTCAAAGGCATTGTTCTTACTAGATGAAAGCCATCACTAGCCTATCCTGGTTTTTACATCCGCATTGATAGCAAATTCGGTGAATTTTTAGAAGTTTCTTTTGGCATTGTGCGGGTGTGTGTTTGTCAGTCAAAGTATTTGCCTTTGCCAAGACATGATAGACTTTTTGAGTATTGACTATTTACTTTCGTAACTACGCTTCAAGGCTAGAATGTAAGCCCATTTATTAGCCATGGTTTCTAAAATTGGAGTTATATTCTGCATGACGTGAACTGGAGCTTTGAATATAGCTGCGGATCTTTATATACGATGGATAGAATGAAAGGCACAGAGACAGAAGAGCCGCCTCACGTTCTAGTTTGTAGTAAGGTAAGTAAAAGCTTTAAGCTTAGATTCCTTCCTGTTCAGTGATTGGGGAATTTAGCCTTATGTCGAACTAATTTATTCCTTATTCGAAGTCTAGGTATTTGAGATTGTTATTTTTTCCTTCGTCTCAGCACTCAACTTGCGCTTTTTCTCTTGTGGTTTCCTGAACAAAAGCCCAAAAGCGCCGCTCTCATAAAACTCAGTTCGCCTTATTTGAGAGTATGCCAGCTGAATGAAACGTTTGATAGAACAAATTGCCATCTTTATTTTCTCTAGAAGCTAGGCCAGGGATTTGTCTTGTATTGATTGCTTACAGAACAAGATATTAGCTGGAGTAGACGATAAAAATCCTTATCTTGTATACAACATCTTTCTTCCTTGTGCATTGCGAAATGACTAGGTACTTGCACAATCGAAACGAAAAAATGACGAGATTGAAAATCGTACTTGAATATATTAATAATTGTCATGCTTGCTTTTATTTGTCTTCATCTTCGAACTTTATCTTTTTTTTAAATTAGGATGACTTAAATCTATCCCTTCCAGCCAAATTTTCATGAATTTGAAATGCCAACATCATCTTAGTATCGTTTACCATGTGGTTCATAAAGTGTAAACCAAAAATTTATGGAAACAACTAATTTTTACCATATTATTAATACTAGAATCACTGTCATAGGACTTCTGGTTGTCATCAAATTTAGTTTTTTTATTGCATCTATTGTTAATGAAAACCATACCTATATAGATTTCATGTTGTTCAAATTAACTACATTAACTTTATCCAACATTTCGTACATAAATAACGTGAGCTTGTATATATTAAAGCTGCTAACGAGAAGATGTATAATATTCTTCAGCGGACTAACTCCGTGTATTATACGATTTTAAGACTTAAGTTCCTAAATTAAGATCAAGATTTATGTCCAGATATAAGAGATGTTTGGGTATTTTGTGAGTTACAGCATTTACTATTTGTATTACTTCATTTTCGACTTCATGGAGTAGTAGTAGATTGGGACATGGATGTTAAAGCACTTGCTGTCTGTTAAAGCACTTGCTGTCTGTTTTAACCAGTTTATATATGTCAATCATTTATGACATATTGCGCAAAGGATTAAAATTAGAGCTAATACTCCCAGTTCTTGAAGACTCATCTTATTTTTACAACAGTATCCCTGAAAACAAATTCAAATTGTCACATTCAAAAGGATCTAAGTCAACAAATAAATATTCAATATTCAATTTGCAGTTTGTTTTAATTTGTAAACAAGGAGTTAAATTTGTTGCACTAGGGATCATGTTCAAAATACCATGTCGTTGACCTTTAAAATTTATCTCAAGTTATCAGTCACTTTGAGTTATGGATTCATGATTACAGCCCTGTACATCTGATAAGACTAATGGCATGCTCTGTCCTGTATTGTGCCACTAGCACTAGTCCTCTTATGTTTAGTATAATAAGCTGGCTAGCTGTAGTCGGTGTTGTTAACTTGTTTTTATGTTATTTATTGCTCTGCTTTTTATTTCAAAAACATATTTTAAATAAATTTTCTGCAACTGATTAAAATGTGGAACATATTTTTTGAATAGTTAATTTCTATAATGTCCATTTTCTGCCTAGTTTTTTTTTTTGTTTGATTATTTTTACATCATATAGTTTTTATTCTTATATATTTTTCAACTTTTATAGTTTTTACTTTTCATTTTTGAGGGCCATAAGTTTTAATATTAAAGATTTCAATAAAATAAATAATAAATAAATTAGGATACAGTGAAAGAATACAGTAGTTGTTAGACTACGTGTATATGGTAGGGCACAGGGCATCGTACTCATTTTTTCATTTCTCATTTTGTCCTTCCCATTTCATTACATATTTTAACTATATAGAGCAGCAGTTCCATTAGCAAACCTTATCCATAAGCACCAGACCATACAGGCACTAAAGCTCTTTAATTTCAATCATTCATATCAGGATTTTCATTTAGTTTTGCAGTATTAGGACAAAATCGTGAACTAGCCAGAGAGTCCTGGCAGGGTTGAAATAATAGGAGAAGATCATTGTAGTTTAAGCCGGAGAATTTTGCTAAGCTACCAGAGCATTCTCTGACCCTTAATGAAAACCCTTGTATATATATTGCCGTTTAGCTGAGAGGTATGTTATTATTATTGGATAATATGTTAATGCAAACATTATTTGAATTTTCCAATTCCTTCCCAAATATTTTTTTTTTCCTTATTATTTATGTTTAGGGGCACAGTTTATTTTCCAGAAGCTTTATACTCTTTTTTTTCTCATTGCTTTTTTTTTTTTTCTCCATTTTTCATTGTTATTTCTGGGAATTGACCTACCTGTTTAGTAATGAAAATCAATTTGAATCTTATATTTATTTACTAGTGCTTAACCCATTAATCTTATGTTTTTCAACTTAGATGGAAAAGATTATTCACATGATGCAAGATGAAAAGATAGGAGTCCCTATCAGGACTGTAAAGAGTTTCATGTCTAAGATTCCTAGTGTTTTGACAGGTAAAGAATATCTAGACAATTAGTCAAACTCTTATACTTCAAATGCCTACCAATTTGAATGACTGTTGTTCTGAACACACTAGCCTCTCTTACAATGTGAAAATGCTTTTGTGTTTCCACGTGAACATGAGGCTAGTCACTCCAGAACAATAGTTATTCAAATTGGACGTCGTATTTGCATTCTCTAATTGGTGAATAATCTGGAACATCAGTCAACCATGTACTGTATACTTACACCTATTACAAAACATTTGTCAATGTCAATGTTCTGAATTCTGAAATCTGAGACACTTTGCCAGCACAGGTCATTTAGATATTGACTTCTAACTAGAACTACACAATCAACTGGGCTTTAACACATTATTAGTAAACATCCTTTGTGGTTCTTTTACATCTCTTTGTTGTAGGGTGAGGTAGTGTGGAGAGATGGGACCACCATTTTATGTGGTCATCTGAGCTACTTGAAGGTCTAACCATTTGTAGTTGTTATTAACACCTTCTTCTCAGTTCATTTAAGACCCTGAGTGTTGGTCCGGCCTTTACTCGAACCACGACCTCCCGCACAAAAGTCCAATGCTCAGCCAACTAAGCCAGTCGGGTGGGAGTAAATTAGTTTATGTGAATTTACTTTCATAATTTTTTATATCAAAAAAATGGATCAAAAAACCATTGATAATCTGTGAATTTATATTTAAAGGATCAGAACTTATTGACTGGATGGTTGAGCACTTGGCAATAGAAGATAGAGGTAAGTTAAAGAGATTTACTCCTTATTGTTTCCAGTAGTTTTTTTGAAATATTTATTATTATATCTGCATTCTGCAAAAAAATATCTTGAGACCTGGACAACCCAGGAAGCCCAATTCCATTAGGAAGTAACTCTTCTCCTTTAACCTCCCTCTCCCAAACAACATTGATAATGGGCTGTGGAGGGAGGTTAAGTATGAGGGTCTGATCATTATTTTACTTGCCCATCGGCCCATTGTAATTATAACATAACATAAAACCTATGATCTGCATTTTTTGTAACCATACATGTATATATACTTATAAGCATAAGATTTGATTGTTGCTACCAAATGAAAAACATTGTACCTTGTTAACAAAAATTAAGAGGTAAAGCAAAGTTTTTGATAATAATTTTTAATTGATTAATTTTAATTTTTAAACTTTACTTTACTTAGTTTGTTTGCTTGAAATTCAACTACTTTCAATGAAAGCCAACATTTCCCCCCCCCCCCCCTAAACTAAGCAATAAATAATAAATTGTTTACATCTGACATCATTAGGGTAATACTGTATGTGCATTAGTGTAGTGCTCATACTATTTTTGACTCTCATATTTGTTTCTCAGGTGAAGGTGTTCATTTGGCTTCCTTGTTAGCTGCATATGGTTACATATTCTCCATTACGGACCATCATTTAATGGTCAAAGATGATGGATCATACTACAGATTTCAGGTAGATGCAAATATCATTTCTATAATTTTATGATTTATATGAATTGAATTTACCAAATTTGTACACCTTACAGTGCCTGTGCTACATGTATGTAGTTTCCATAAACTAGAGGTTCGTCTTCAGTCAGACAATTTTCACTGAGTTGATGTTTATTTATCACATGTGAATTAATCATGCAATTGAACAATAGTACATGATATCCCCTAAATCCGCATGAATTCCTTGCTATTAAGTATTAGCTTGGTGTAACTTCAGTGGGTCTTCTCCGATAAAACTAATGAATAAACATGGACTCAAAATGTCCACAACTGTGTGTTGTGTGACCTTGAGGTCAGTAAAAGAACTGGCACGCCTATGCATGTGATGATCACGCAACCGGAAGTAGGGCACTACAATGTATGTCTGCTGCTGTTGTGCTACAGTATATCTGCTGTTGTTGTGCTGTGCTATGTCTGCTATGCTATGATGTGCTATCTATGATGTGCTGTGCTATAATGTGCTGTGCTGTGCTGTGCTGTACTAGGTTGTGCTGTGCTTTGTCTGCTGTGCTATGATTTGCTATCTATGATGTGCTGTGCTATAATGTGCTGTGCTATAATGTGCTGTGCTATAATGTGCTGTGCTGTACTAGGTTGTGCTGTGCTTTGTCTGCTGTGCTATGATTTGCTATCTATGATGTGCTGTGCTATAATGTGCTGTGCTGTGCTGTACTAGGTTGTGCTGTGCTAAGCTATGTTTTTAAAATAATAGGAGAGGATTATGAACTGCTGGAGAGTCATGGGGACCATGTGAACATTTTACAAATTACTAAGCTATTAATGGAGAATTTTGCTTAGTTACTAGAGCATTCTCTGATCCCTGATCCTTAATGAAAACCCTAAAACAATAATTACTATTAATTTTGCAAGTTATTATTGTTTATTTATTTTTATATTTTTTTCTTTATCAGACTCCTTATTTTTGGTTATCAAATAATTGGGAACCAGAAAACATAGACTATGGTGAGTATAGAAGTTAGTCTTGTGTAAAGAAACTACATCAAAGACCATATCATAGTGCCAACTTTAGCAGATGGTAATCTACTTTGTAGAACTCCTTACTTTTTTTGCTCAGAGTTGTATTATTAGTAGCTCCACAATGTTTTGACGCCAGCAAAATACACCTAGTTGCAGGGGCGGATCCAGAAATTTTAGAAAGGGGGTGACTATTACAAAGGTTTTACCAGGAATTCGAGGAAAAGGGAGGTGACTGTTACTAACACTATACTGAGAAATTTGAGCAAAATGGGGGGATGACTAGTCACCTACTTCACCACCCCTGGACCTGCCCCTGAATTGCAAACAAAGAATTAAGGGGGTGTCGGTTCGACTATGCTTTACATTTACATATTTTGCTGAGCTTTTAAACATATGATTGATCTAATCTGTTTATCATTCCAGCTGTTTATCTTTGCAAAAGAACTATGCAGAATAAGTCTAGATTAGAGTTGGATGATTATGAGGCAGTAAGTACTATCTTTCATGTACTCAATGGGAGATTTTTGCATTTATGCATGCATGCTTTAATTAGGTTCAGTAATCCTCAATACTTGTACAATCCATGGTTTGGGGTATTGTTATTCATTGTAAATATCATTATGACATTGCTCTTAAAAATTCTTTTCATCTTGATACAGTATTTGAAATTGAAACAAAAAATTAAATTTTAAATACTGTGTTGATGAAACGAATTTTTACCACTCTTTTCATTGCTATGCGCTGATTGAGACAACAGTAGCAACAGGGAAATAGGACAATAAGTTGCCCCCAATCCAAAAATACAAAGGTACTGACCAACGTATTTGATTGACGGGAAGTGTATTGTACAAATTTCCTCTCACGACTGTTGTCTCAATCAGCCTGGGGGGTGCTCCCCTATATTTGCTATACGGGTATGTGCTGCCCTATAGGGTATGGTTTTTCGGCTTTTGGGTCTGGGGTGGGGTTTCATTTTTTGACATTTGGTCTGGGGTAGGGTATCATTTTTGTCTGGGATAGGGTTAACGATTTGGTCGTTTTTGTCTGGGATAGGGTTAACGATTTGGTCGTTTTTGTCTGGCAAATAGGCTACGCTTTCTGCAGGCACAAAAACAATAAAAACATTAGTAAATATTGATTGCAATCTATTGAATGACCGTCATTTCCGTCATTTAGCGTGGGATAGGGTGTACAAATTCTTAGTTTTCGTCTGGGGTAGGGTATGTAAAATCAAAATTTTAGGTCTGGGATAGGGTCAGGGTTTTGAGGTCCTGGCGGCACACCCCTCCCCAAGTTGGGGTGGTAGTACCCCCCCGTCCCCAGGTTGATCATTAGCATTAGCAATGAAAAGATTGGTAAGAGTATTGAAACCAACACACAACCAAATTTTGTATTATGTTATTATTTATAGTTATATTAGTTCATTTTTAAAGCTTGAAAGTTTGAGCCCTCTGGTATCGAGCCCTTGTTCAGGCTTTCCTAATATCAGTTGAACAGATAGTCTTTAAGATGACCATCTGTATATTGTGTTGATCAATGATTACTTATGAGCTATGCATTCAACTGGATATTGTCTGATATTTGTATTTACAGGAAAATTTAGCAAAACTTCAAAGAACTTTGTCTAGGAAATGGGAATTTATTTTCATGCAAGCTGAGGCTCAGGCTAAGTAAGTCACTGTACACTTTTATTGAATGGACACATTATTAAGTGGACATCAATCAATCAATCAATCAATCC